CCCTTCAGTGGGAAGTGGTACAGGTACTGTCTGTAGCAATCCCAGTTTTCCCAGCTTGAGCAGCAGGAATGCTCAGTGCTTCTGCAGACTTTCTGCCTCATCAAACGCGCTGGCGGAAAGGGAGTTGCTCATTAGGTTCCTTAGGAACCTGCGTTCTAGAACAGAGAAATCCTGTTGTCCTGCACTGTCACAAAAAGCCTGACTTCCACAAACCCTTGCTGAGCCCTTCCTGCCTATGGGATGAGGACTGCATGGGCCCTGTTAGATGACAGAGGTTGGTCAGCTTGTGCTCAAGTTCACTGTTTGGTGGGGAACATAAGTGTGTGGCCAGGAGTCCTGTGCCTGGGGTGCCTGGGGACAGGGAGGAGCATTGCCCAGCCTTTTGCCACTCTGTGCTCCCCCCGCCCTGCTGGCCAGGTGGAAGCTCCAAGTTCCTACCTTTCTCCTGTCCCCTCCAGTTGGAGAAGAGATTGAGATGACCCCCATGGTGTTTGCCAAGGGTCTGGCTGACTCTGGCTGCTGGGGGGACAAGCTCTTTGGGCGACTGGTGAGCGAGGAGCTCCGAGGGGGTGGACACGGGGGTGGCCTGCGGAAGGCCTCCCAGGCCAAGGTCATCTACGGGCTGGAGCCCATCTTCGAGTCAGGCCGCACATGCATCATCAAGGTGTGCAGCCCACTTGTGTTCGGGCCCAGCAACGAGACCTCCCTCCTGGGCAGAAACTACGACGTCACCATCCAGGTACTATGCCCCATCCCCAGCCCTATCCCTGCCCTCTCTCCCTTCTCCCCTTGGCCAGCCTGGCTCCTGTTGGGAAGCCCAAAGTGGAGGCAGGAGTCATCTCCATCTTCTCTTTAGCTTAGGAGGCTCTGGGGAGGATGAGATGTAGCCGACACTCTGGACATTTGGCCTAGAGAAATTCGGAAATTTTGAGAATATGACTAGGTGCCTTGGCACTAACTTGTGTCTTCTCCTTAAGCGCTCCAGTGGGGTAGACAGGAGTGTGGCCTGCGGAAGGCCTCCCAGGCCAAGGTGACCTGTGGGCTGGAACTCATCTTCGAGGCCACTCATGCAATTTGTTTGTTGCCGAGTTGTCCAAACTGGACTGAAATTTGTAATTGCAGCGGGAACTTTCCCCCTACTTCAAGCTCTCTTTCTCCTAGAAGCCTTACTTACATGGGACACAGAAGGGAAGGACGCAGGCAGGAGGATGATCTATCTGCCTCTCAGGGGGGCCACTGGGCCACTGCTACCTAGCACTAGACTGCAGGATGAGGCCCAGGGAAGGGAGCCAGAAGGAGCGAGTCCACCTCCCTCAGGGCTGGCATCCCCCTGGAAGCCCCCCAGCAGGGTGCCGCCCACTTAGAGCCAGGCAGCCAGAGGACTGGGAGCCTCCTTGCTGATTCCATTTGGCTTCCTGTAACTGCAGGGTTGCAAGATACAGAACATGAGCCGGGAGTACTGCAAAATCTTCGCAGCAGAAGCCCGAGCGGCCCCCCGCTTTGGGGAAGTGCCTGAGTAAGTGTGTGGAAAGGGTCTGAGGAGACAGTGACTGCAGCCTTCTGGGAGCTACCTGCTACCCAGCTCAGTGGACCCACAAAATCTAGAAATAGAGACCCCCAACATGCATGCTCCACTTTAGAAAAGTCTCTGCTCTGGTTGTGAGCCCCACTGCCCCAATTTCATACCCTTCAACCAGAGCTTGCTGGTTGCAGTGATTGGGCACAGCAGGTTCCAGGGCCCTGGGGATGCAAGGGGCGGCTTAGTCACTGGATCAGGACTGGTCAGGACTCTTCTGCAGAGTTTTGTAGGTGTCAGCTGTAAACAGCAGTTGTTTCCATGTTGAGACCTGAATGCTGACTCAAGTGTTTGGGGTGAGACAGGCATTGAACTGTGTTCAGGTGGGAGCCCTTCTGGACCATCCTCTTTATTTGACACACACTGGCCTCACCCCTCACCCCCACCAGGGGCTATAGCAGAGTTGGTGCTAATCCCACTGGCCACAGGGAGTGGGCAGTTCTAGTCAGTGGCCTCTGTCTCCTACCTTGAGTTCAGGAGGTGCTTCCTGCCTTGCTGTACTTCAGGTATAGAACCAAGAACCTCATTCTGGGAAGGGGCCCTTGTTTTAGATGCAGGAATAGAGGACAGAGTTGGCAGGAGGAGCTCTTGGGGCCACACTGACCAATGGTGGCGGGGGGGGGGGCAATTGTTCAGGATCATCCCTCTCTACCTGATCTACCGGCCTGCCAATGCCATCCCGTATGCCACCCTGGAAGAGGACCTGGGGATGTCCCTGCAGTCCTACTGCTCCCGGGAAGGAAGCTGCATGGGTACTTCAGCGGCACCTAGCAGTTCTGAGGTTGTGCAGAAATGCCAAGCCTTCCAGCACTGGCTGTACCAGTGGACAAATGGCAGCTTCCTCGTCACAGATTTGGCAGGTATGGGGGTGCAAGGAGGGTACACAGGGCATGGATACAAAATGGGCGAGATAGAGACAGTTGTGAAAGCACTTTCGCACTTAATCTCTTTTGCTTTGCACAGGAATCTGGTAGTGCAGAAGATGGCCAGGGACCGTGACCCTAACACATACCCCCACAGGTAGCCTGTCTGTAACTACAGTTGCATTTAAAAGGCAAATCCAAGCTCTTTAAAATGAAAAGGAATTGGTTTCAAAGACATTATCTAGCATCCATGTATTCTATTTCAAAACTCACAGCCACCTTTTTCCAAACCTCCCTTCTCCGTGGATCACCTCACCTTCCCCGTCTTTGTTAGCCACCCCCCCCCTTTTGCTTTGAAGATGGAACACGGCACCTCACACAGGCTAGGCAAGTCTACCACTGAACTATACCCTTAGCCCTGTCTGACTTAGTCTGACTTCTTTTCAGTTTCATGTCTATGTCCCCCATTACCTAGAAACTCCCCTACAAAGGAAACCGACAGCACAAATCCTTCTTTCTTTGGTCAGGCCTCTCCAGACCTACTGCCTGGAACTCCACAGGGAGCGGGAAAGAGAAATGTTCTACAGTAGAAGGAGAAGGAGCTGGCACTAGTACAGTTACTAGATCTTGTTCCTGAAGTACATAGATGAGAAAACCCAGGGCCAGAGACTGAAAAGTGCCTCCAACATGCTCTTCTTTGGGATTAACATGTATAATAATAACTGGTTCTACAGCTGCATGTATTAGGGGAGCAGGAACTAGGGAACCTCCAGCCATCGTCAGGCAACTGATGAGCTCCTACCATTCAGACCTTTCTTCCCCTTCCATTCACCAAGTAGTGGATTAGGAATAGCTGATGTCCTCAAGGCTTGTGGGAAGCGAACAGATTCTCCCATGCAGGGGTAACAAGGGACTGTAGAAAGACTTTGGAGTCAGAGGTGTTTGGTTTAAGTCAAGGCTCTCTGAGCCTGTCACAAAGGAGAAAACCAAAGCCTGGGCAGGATAGGTCATTTCATGATTCTGGCTTCTGTTCCTTGTCCCTCACTTGGAGTGATGTTTTCTCTCCCATTTCTCAGACCTGTTATCAGGATTACATGAGACCATATTTACAGAGCTTTCTGCAAGCTAAAGTTCTTTGCAGGCATAGAAGGTCACTATTATGAGGTAAAATGGAATGGACTAAGTGCCAAGAGAAATGACAAAGAAATTAATATGTTTTGCCTAACTGCTATGTTTCAAGCGCTAAGTTAGAATCCTACAGGTATCATCCTAACACCCCTACCAGATAGGCAGCACTACCCTTTCACTTACAGCTGAGGGTTAGAAATAGTAAGTGACTTGCTAAGTTCACACAGCTTTGGAGTGATAGAGCTGAAGTGTGAACGGAGGTCTGTCGGAGTCAAAACCCCACCCCACCTGTATGCTGTCACATGAAGGTACTTGACCCAGTTATGGAGAGCCAGCTTCCTAGAAAAATGCTGGGCAACTTGCAAATAGGGATAGAAGATCACAAACCTAACACTTGAATGCTGGGACGCTTGGGCTGACTAGGGTGAGGCATTTTTTCTCTATCACCTTTGCCAGGTTCTGTTTGCCCAAGGTTCTGTGAAAGAGCACCTCAGCACCTCGGGGAGCCCACTTGATGCTGAGTCAGGTGGAAGCCAGTCTTGCCCCAAGCTGCACTGCTGCTGGTTTTCCCTAGCTGCGTTTTCCCCTAGGTCACTCTACCTGGGACAGATTGCCACCCTAAGAGGAAGGAGAAGGGCCAAGTTCACAGCCAGAGGCTGGTGCCGCCTGTGACTGGTCTGACTCAGTTGAGACTCACAGAGCTAAAAACCTGGGCTCCAGGAGCCAGAAACATTGAGCATTTACTTTGGCTCAGAGCGACTACTGCACCTAAGGCTCAGTAATGGCATGAGTGACTGAACCATTGAACTGCACGCCTAGCTTGTCACCTGTGATGGTGGGAATCTTTTTTTTTTTTTTTTTTTTAATCTTTCTGAGACAGGCTTTTGCTATGCAATTCAGGCTGGTCTTGAGCTCATTTTGTAGTCCTGGCTGATCTCAAACCCACTACAATCTTCCTGCCTCAGCCTCCCCAGTGCTGAGATCACAGGCATGTGCCACCATGCCCGGCAAAAACAGGAATCTTAAGAATGATGCAGTGATCTGCCCCTGCCTGTTGGACAGGCCAGTGGTGGTGGCCTTTGTGACAATGCCTAAGGGTAGTTCTGTGCTGGAGACATGGGGGCCCAGAACCCTGCCAGGCTGGCTTCAGGCTCCCACTTTCTCTGCTTTCAGGGGTTGACTGGAAGATGACTGATGTGCAGATTGCTACCAAACTGCGAGGGTAAGGGTTTGCAGTGACCCCAAACAGCCTTTTTGGGGGTCTCCTGGTTTCTAGTCCCTGGGGCCAGATGGTCCCACTTGTACCCACAGCCATATGGGAACACCTTTGGGGGCCAGCGATCCCCTCCCTCGTGCCCCTGACTCCTGGCATGGACCAGCAGCTCTGATGAATGTCCTAGTAGAGGCTCCTCTAACATTCTGGGCCTGCAGCATACCCTTCGCTTCCACAGGGACTCCTATGGGCAACAGCCAAGTGTATGCTTGTGGCAGGACCCCATTTGTACATGCAGGACTGGTGAATCCTGTGTGTCAGGGTCTTAATGAGACAAGCTTTAGAACTGGGATGCTGCCGCCTGAGTTAGCACCTTGGGGAGTGAGAAAGGAGGTTCCTTGGGCACAGCACCCTGATGGCAGCCATGCCAAAGCCAGCCCTCAGGGCTCTACCACCCTAGGTGGGTCCCCCTCAGTTCTTCTGTCTGGCTGCAGATATCAAGGCCTTAAGGAGAGCTGCTTCCCGGCCCTGCTGGACCACTTCGCCTCCTCCCACCAGTGCAACACCTACTGTGAGATGCTGGGGCTCCCAGCCCTCAAGGGCCCCGAAGTTGCCCACCCCCAAGCCAAGCCCAAAGGCTCCAAGAGTCCATCAGCTGGCAGGAAAGGTGCCCAACTGAGTCCACAGCCCCAGAAGAAAGGCCCTCCTAGTCCTCAGGGCGTGCGGCGAAGCACACCAAGCCCCAGGGCCACCTCGGAGGCAGCTGCTGTCCAGGTACTGGGGAAACCTCCCTCACAGGAGGGGGGCTCCAAGGCCCAGCGGTAGCCCCAGCAGGGGCTGGGGGCCTCCACCCAGCAGCAGACCAACCAGGAATCAACTTGAACCAGACAGAGATGTTCTCAAGATGGTGCCAGCGGAAAGGTGCCCTGAGCAAGGACCGCCTGGGGACCTCTTTGAGAATCCTGTCCTCCAACAGCTCCTCCTCTGATGGTTTTGGCTGTGGCACACAGCCACCAGCCTCTCCTGGTGCCATCATCAGCCAGGGTTCCCAGGCCTCAAGTAGGCCTCACCTCCAAGTACCTGGCGGCCTTGGCCTCCTAGAAGTTTACATTCACCACTGCTGGAGGCTCCCCGAGTCCTCTGCATGTGTTCTCCCCCAAACCCCTTCCTGGCCAGATGTGGTGGCCAGCACTGCCATCCGGGCCCGTGCCATCCTGTCCCCTGCTCGACCCAGCCCTTTTCCTGTTTTCAGGGTTTCAGACTCCTCCGTGGTGTCTGGCTTGTGACTCTCAGGGTGATTTCTTCCAGCTACTTGCCACATCCATCCTAGCTATCCTGTGCCTAACCTGTCCTCGAGCCCAGGTGGGGCTCAGGGCCCTTCTGGGCCTGTTGTATCCCTGGCATCAGTCTCTGATGAATCATGCTTCTGCACACCCTCCCCATCACTGTCATCCTGGCCTTGCTCCCCAGCTTTGGGCCCCCACAGTCTGCCCTTCTGACTGTGCTTGTACCCGTGTTCAGGTTTGCCTGACCCTCGTCTGCACAGTGCCCACCAGTGCTTCTGCCTTATTCCTTGGCTCTCATCCCTGCCTGTCCCCAGAGGGAGGGCATTGACTTTGAGGGGCCTCATGCTCCATCCTGGAAAGAGGGGTTCACAGTGAATTTCCTGTCTCCCTTACAGAGAGTTGGGACTCTCCCTTGTGGGGGTCCTAGAAAGGACCTAAAAGAATCAGTCTTGAGTAAGGGAATGGGGACCCCCTACCTCCAACTATTCGCTCCTAATCCTGGGCACCAGTATTGGGCTCTCCCAGATGGGCTCATGAAGATTTTCAGTGTGGCACCTGGTGCCCTGTGTCCTTCCTGGATGTCCCTTCCTGAGACCTGGTGTGGATGGTCTGGAGCTAGCCCACTTCCCTTGGAATGCAATAAAAGCAGTGCCCGTGTGTCCCACTTGCCCTCGTCTGGTGTGGTGACAGAGCTGGGTCCCTCCTTCCCAGCCAGGCTAGAGGAGAGTGTCCCATTATCCCTGTGCCCCGCAGAACAATGAATCCATCTTTTGGCTCCTGGCCTGCAGGCCAGTGTCAGTCTCTTGAGGTCACAGCTAAGATGGTTTGCGCTATTTGCATAACTGAGCCAATGGCTTGTGCCCTGTCAGGGTGTCTGGGGACTTGGTGCCTTGGGAACTGCCCCTCTGCTGGGAAGAGGCACACAAAAGAAGATTCAGAAAGGAAGAGCAGAGCTGGGGCCTCGGCAGAAGCTCCCCGTCCCTGGATGCCCCTGCCACAGCAGACTGGCCAGGGACAAGAGCACTGGCCATCAGCCCTCCCAGAGCCTGTCCTGCTTCTTCTCCCACCCCAAGCCAGGGCCTTCATTCCCTTCCATCTCCACCTCCTCCCTGTTCAAGGACTCCCCACTTTGAGCTTTGTCCCAGGGTGCTCCCATCCTCCCAGCCTGCATGTCCAAATAACATGGGGGGGGGGAGGAGAGCTGGATTATTGCTCATCCACTTATTCATTCAGCAGATGCTCACTGAGCATCTACTATATGCCAGACCCTAGGCTGCCACGTGTGGGAGACAAAGGTGTGTGGGAGGCCCCAGGAGACACTGCCTATCCTTAGAGTGCTGGGATTTGAAGCAACGGAAATGAACTTGGACCAACTTCAGCAAGCAAAGGGATTCATGGAAGGATATTGGGATAATCACAGAACCACAGTAACAGCTGAACAGGCCAGGTGTGATGGTATACACCTGTAATCCCAGCTCCTGGGAGGCTAAGGCAGGAAGATCAAACTTGAAGTCCAGCCTGGGATCTTGTCTCAAAAAAAAAAAAAAAAAATATATATTAAAAAGGACTGGGGATTGTAGCTCACAGTAAAGGTCTCAGGTTCAATCTCCAGTATTTTAAAAAAAAAAAGCTGAACAATTAGCTTTGGGGAAGGCAAGAGCCTGGGTACTTCTAGGTATTGTCCCCTAACCCCCAGGAATCCTGACCTAGGTCTTGCACTCCATGTAAGATTCAACTTCCAGGTGAGAGAAGCTGGTCCAGAGTCCAGGGCTTCATAGAATGGCAAAAGGACAGTTTCTAAAGGGTGAGGATACTTAGCAGAAGCATGGCGGAGAGTGGAGGAATAGAGGGGATTTGGCAGACATCACAAAAGATTACACACACTTACACACACACACACACACACACACACACACACACACACACACAGAGGTCTTCTTACCTGATGGCACACGACTCTCCTACATACGGCCAAAATCAAATTTGTGTCTTGCTCAGGAACTCAAGATCCCACTCAACTACCAAGTCCAAGGATAATGATGAGGCTACCATCCTCCAAAGCCCAGAGTTCCCAGCTATAACTTTCCTCTAATAGTTTTATCACAATCCTACAGTTGAATCACAAGCACTTTCAATTATTCTGTGGAATTAAACCAGTGGATTAACTGATTAAAAGTCAATCAAAATTATGCAACCCAACAAGAAAGGGAGTCCAGGTGGAAGCTATCATCTGTTACTACAGCCTGTCACAAGAACTGCTGTTTCCGATTAGAGCTTTAGGCCTATTGGAGTTCAGTTCTGAGGCCCAGGCCCTAGTGGTCCTGCCTGTGAGCCTGACATTTATTATCTAATGTGATAGCACCAGGATGCCCTCAGAATCCCCTCTCCTCTGTCCTGCCCCTTTTCATGTGGTAGTGATCATTCTATTTTCCCTGGACAGAATGCATCATCCTAGCTGTGCCCATACTTTTGTCATTTGTCACTCAGAAGAGCCTGAGTTGGCCAGGTAAGATGGTTTGTGCTATTTGCATAACTGAGCCAATGGCATGTGCCCTGTCAGGGTGTCTGGGGACTTGGTGCCTTGGGAACTGCCCCTCCTTGGGAAGAGGAATACAAAGGAAGATCCAGAAAGGAAGAGCAGAGCTGGGGCCTCGGCAGAAGCTCTCCGTCCCTGGATGCCTCCACCACAGAAGACTGGCCAGGGACAAGAGTGCCTGGCCCTTAGAGCCTGTCCTGCTTCTCCTCCCACCCCAAGCCAGGGCCTTCATTCCCTTCCATCTCCACCTCCTCTCTGCTCAGGGACTCCCCTCTTTGTGCTTTGTACCAGAGCTCTGGCCTTAGGTTCAGTTGCTTCATCGCTTTGTCTTTGAGGATTTCTTTCTTCCCTGGGAACCAGACCTCTGTACCCAATGCTCCCAATAGGTTGAGAAAGGCGGTGAGACACCCTGACAAGCCATGTCTCCACACTGCCCCTGGCAATGTAGGAGCAACAGCACCATCCTGCTTCCTGGCCAGCCTCTCAAGGGGGTATTTCTGGTACCACAAACTTCCAACACACCATTCACCATCCCAGCCAGTAGGCATCCTACAAGAACACCCTCTGTACTATCCTGGTTGAATGCAGTGTGTACCGACATCACAACTGTGTCTGGGCATTTGATGATTCACTGGAGGACCATGGTGGGACAGGCTGATGGGTCAGCAGAATCAATCCCAACCTAGAATGGGGACCAAAAGGGTCAAGACAAACTACTGGCCCTGCTTAGAGCCAATAATATAGACAGAGGGAAGCTGGTGGCATGGGTGGAGGAGGCACATGGAACACCAAGCAATGTACTCAGTGCCTGGGGCCACGGGGTCCACCAGATGATACCTGGCTATGGCCAATAGACCAGGCTCCACCCCAAGGGCTATGAGGTCACCTAGTGTGACTTAGTTAAGCACCCAGGCTCCCTAGAGCCTGGTGACTAGTGTGTGTGTGTGTGTGTGTGTGTGTGTGTGTTTATTCTCAATAGGACAATAGTTACTCTTTTTCTTTTTATCACTGGGTTCCCCCACTACATTTTTCTTATCAGGACTTTCATGAGCCGTCAAGGCTCCATATGACTCACTGATATGTCACCTCCATACCCATCTGGTGGGTCACATGGCCTGGTGGAAGCCCTGGCCTGGCAGCCTTCCAGGTCAGTCTGTAACTGGTCTGGTGGTAAGGATTCTGACCCACATTAGCAAGGAAACATTTGGGTCTCAACAGTCCCCTCAGACCCCAGACTCAATGAGGGGCAAGCATTTGTGTTTTCACTTGAGTCCTCTGATCCCTTTTTGAGACAGACTTGTTGGCCCAACCAGAAGTCTTCAGTTCCAGGGATTACTAGATGATGGCTTAGGAACTCCCTGTCCCTTTTTCATTCCTGGGACCCAGCTGCAAATTGACCACAGCTGGAGGTCTGGTTTCTATGCCATGTCGTTACAATGACTTCCCAACTTTGGGAAGTTGGGCCATTTCTGCTACAAGGGCAGGGGCCTTATCTGCATAGCAGCTTTCCCCTCCAGAATCCCAGGCCAGAGAGAAGCACAGCAGAGCAGTTATCTGTCATGGGGAGGAGAGGGCCATCTTCCAGGTCCTGCTCAGACAGGGCAATGGGGCAAGGGACACTCTGAGTATAGTGACATCATCATCACTCTACACGGGACCAACCAGAGACTTGCTATTTTCAATCCTTCATTTGACTCTGATGCTGTTCAAAGGGTCAATTATATCTTGACTCTTTGAATACAGTCTAGCATAGGTAAGGTTTGGTTGATTTGTGTTATCCTAAAGTGGTAAGAATGGTTTATCTGACTGCGAACTTCTACACTGAATGTAGACCCTCCGGTGAGAGAATTTAGGTATCAAAAAATATAGCGTGAACTAAAATTAGGTTCTGTGACTGCCTGACACTGCTTGCCAAGTGAACACACACCCTGTCGCTTGTACGTGTGGGCCACACATGGTGGCTGGCCACAGGCAGGATGAAGCCGCGGTGCAGAAGGCCCAGACCCCCAGTGTGACAATGACAGGACTGGACATCTTGACCTCTCGAGGAAAAGCAGAAAAACATGGGAAGAGGGAAGCCGCACACGCCAACCTGACAGCCACACACATGGGACTCCCCGCTTGCTCACATCTTCCCGTTACAGATCCTTCTGCAGGTTCATGTAGGGCAACCTTGTTAGGACTTTCACTTCCTCTGGATAGTCAAGTTCAGCCACCTTCTCAGTGCTCCACCAGGGCCATGGGCCCACCCAGCTGGCCGACCTGAAGGCCTCACTAAACCATCCAATGGGTAGTAGTGATGGGCGGTGTATAGAAAGGACAGGGACTTAATCAGGACAAGCGTATGACCCACACTTCCTGGGAATTTCTCCTTCATGGGAGATAATCGCAATCCCTGATCCCCCTCTGGAGTAAGGTAGGCACAGGCTGGGCCAGTCAGTGTAGCGCATGCAGACCCGGACATCTAAGGACATCACAGACGTGTTATTGTTCAATCTCAGCTGGCTGAATGCTTAGGTTTCCCGTGTTGAGTCAAACAGCCACACAGCCTCACTCCTGGTGGTGCTCTTTGTCAGTTCCTTTAAGTTTCAGCTTTGCAGCCATATTCCCCCCACCCCCCACCCAAAGACTTTGGTTTCCCGGAAGCTGCCCGGCGGGTCATGGGAATAACGCCGCCGCATCGCCAGTCGGCATCGTTTATGGTCGGAACTACGACGGTATCTGATCGTCTTCGAACCTCCGACTTTCGTTCTTGATTAATGAAAACATTCTTAGCAAAAAATAGAATAACATTAGGTTTTACTCTTATCTTGGTCAAAGAGTCTTCAGTAGGTTTCCATAAATGGCCCCTGGATATTTGTTGCCAATACACATTCACTGGTTTACACAGTTTCTCCTGGTGATAATTCTTCCTTTCCCAGGGAGGGGACTCTTCTTGGTTACTCACAGGAAAGTAGTGTAGTGTGAGGCAAGAGGGAAGAGCTTTGCTTTGCCCTGAAGACAGAGTTCTAGGGCCGGCCAGATAGCTCAGTGGAGTAAAGCACCTGCTTAGGCAAAGTGCAGGGACTGGGGTTCGATCTCCCGCTCCACATGCGTGATGGCATGCCCCTGTAATCCCAGCGCT